GAGAAAAAAGATTACTTTTTGCAAAATTTTGTAATTTTTGGTCTGTTGTCGCAAAATTTCAAAAGGAAAAACTCGCCTTTCTGTTCAAACGAACAAAAAAGATCAAAATTACATCATTTTCAATCTAATTTGGTAATTTTTTCATGTCATTCTGATGAAAAAATAAAAAGTCTTAGCTTAAAAATACGCAGAAATGTTTGAAATTGGCAAAAATTACAAATTTTTTGCCTTGTTTTGGCGAAATTTCTCGACAAAAGTGCATTTTTGACTGAAAAGTGTGTTAAATACCTAAATATTATAATTTTCAACCGAAATTGTTCAATTTTCAGTTTATTTTGTTAAATTTCACTGAAAAACGAGCCAAATCGAGTCATGAATCACGTCATTTGGTGATTTTTTACGTTATTTTTTGAGTTTTTAGCTGAAAAATGCAAAAATAACATCGTTTTGAGCGAAATTTCGCATAAAAAGTACTCTTCTAGTAAAAAAACATGATTTTTTTCTTTTTGAAAATCTTAGATCCAATTTCAATGTTTTTCAGCGAAATTGATTTTTTTCGATATTAGAAAAAATGTGCAACTTACTATTTTTTTTTAACCAAATATTGTTTTTTTTGCTTTTTTTATTACTTCGACATATTATTCGGCTTGTTTTCACGAAAAACTGAGTCTTATGTGAAAAACACCAATTTCGACGTTTTTCAGCGAAAAAATTGCGTTTCTAGCCCACATACAAGCTAACTCGAGCAAAAAAGGCCAAAATAACATAAATTTTATTCTAATTTGGTGATTTTTAGCTTACTGAGTTTTCAAATGTGTGAAAAAGACAAAAATAACATCATTTTTAGGCCTGTCTGTGTGAAATTTGCGTTCCTGGCTAAAAACGTGCTTAAAACATTTGAAAAAGTAAAAAATAATGTAATTTTTGACTTCAATTGTTTACTTTTCAGCTTATTTTGATAAAATCTCACCCAGAAACGAGCTAAATCGTCTAAAATAACATTAATTTTAATCTAATTTGGTATAATTTTAGTATGTATTTTCTTGAAAAATTTTACTTTGAGCATAATTGAGTGATTTTTCGAATTGGTTTCTTGAAAAATCAGTTTTTACACCGAAATCTTTCGAAAAATTTGGGATTTTTGTAATAAATCCTTTTTTTGTCACTTTACTGGCTTTTATGTCAAATTTGACATTTCATCAAGTTCAAACAGGTTAGATTTAATCGTTTCACATTTTAAAAAGTCAAAATGCCATTTTTTTACGTTTTTCTGTGTTAAGCATATTTTAAATTTAATGCAATAAAGAACTAAATTATTTTACGGAAGGTAAATAGCAACAAATTCCTCTCTCTAACAAAACAGTTTATTTTTTTCCTACACTTGAGGGGGAGGAGGGGGGTAATAAATAAATAATCCGCGCAATTTCATGATTAAAAACCACCATATTTACAAATTAGCCCACATAATAAATCTCAAATGAATCTCTGTAACATTCGTATACGAGTTAAATGCACGAAATAATCAAAAATATATACACTACAATTGTAAAAAAAAAAAATAATAATAAAATAAGAGACACCAACAGCATCAACAGAGTTGTAAATATTTACATTTTCGTAACAATAAGTACAGTTTTGAGTCATCACTGCATGGCGGCCATATTGTTCATACTGCCACTTATATGTGCCGAGCTACCTAACGTGGAAGACATATCTTGATAGCTAAATTGAGGAAAATAAGGCTCTTCTTGTATGGCACCTAATGGACCGGAATTATCCGGTGGTGTCAACTCGACACTTTCACCGGTAAATTCCGAATCGAAATATCTAGTATCCGTATCACTAGTCACCTGGGGTTTAAACGGCGGAATTATCTACAAAACGAATTAATTACCAAAAAATATATACAGGGTGGTCCGTCTAAACCCAACATTAAAAGTATTGGGAGTTGGAATAATCATATGTATTTGAAAATTGGTACATAGCCATAATGCATTAAGTCCTCCTTAATGAAAATATTTTCAAGATGGTGGCACTTCCGGTTATACCGGAAGTCGGTCTCAACTTTCTTATTTTAAATGGGAAGGTATATTTTTTATTGCGTAAAATTTGTGGATCTGCACCTTACACTTTAAAAATCGATAACTCTGCTATTTATTGAGATTTTGAATTCGTTTTTTTGGTGTTTGAAAGAGAAAGTTTAGATCTTTCTTCCGGTGTTTTCAAATTTTGAAAAAAAAATTAACAAACCATGAAATTTTAAGGTTACTTTTGTAATAATTCAAATAGCCATAACTCAATTTTTCCAAATGAAATACCCCAATTTTTATTTTATAAAATGGAAGAGAATTTAATTCTGCATCGATCTGTATTAACATTCCCTATACCTAAATTTAATAATTTGGACAAAAAACAAATAAGAAAAAAGCATTTTTTTGTTCTTTTTTTTTCTTTTCTGTTACCTATTTATCTAAATTTGAGAGAAATTTGCCCAAACAACGCAAACAATTTCAAAAGTGAAATGCGTCATTTTTGTTTCTTTTTAAAAATTCAAAGCATTTTTTATATAGAAATTCACAAAATTCGAGAAATTAACTAAAACAAGGCAGAAAATTGCGAAACTAAATTTAGAAATGGGTTTTTTCTTATTTTTAGAAATCC